TATTTTATTGTTTTATTATTATTTTTATTTTTTTATTATTATCTTATTTTTATTTATTTTATTTTATTTTATTTATTTTTTATTTATTTTTTTTATTTTATTTATTTTTATTTTTTTATTTTTTTTTATTCATTTGAATTTAACATAAATATCTTTATCACGTTAAATCATCTCTTTCAGCATCATGAATTTCCCAAAGATTATCGCAATGGTTACAGATTATTCGATTATGATCCTTCTAAATGGTTAATCTGGTTTTTCCATACTTGCACTAATCAAGTACCATACGTCATCAGAGTCCCAGAGAATGAAATTCGAAAGGCTCGTTCAAACATGAAATTGCTTGAAGCTCAACGTGAACGTGAAGGATGCGACTGGGGTGTTGATCCAGAAACTCTTCCTACCATGACTTATGATGAATTTAAAGAAAAAGTAAAAAATGAAGGAAAAGAATGGTTGTTAATTGATGATTTTGCATTAAATGTTGAAAGTTTCAAACCTTTACATCCTGGTGGATCTAAATTATTAGAATCTTATTACGGAAAAGATGCTACAAGAGCTTTCCATGGTGGGTTAAATAATCATACAAAGGCTGCGAAAACTATGTTGGCTATGTATAAGGTTGCCAAGATTAGTAAAAGTGAAACTGAGTTGTAATTTTTATTTTTTGTTGTTACATATATAAAAAACAAGTTTTTTTTTTGTTGATAGTTATTTTAGTCATTGATTGACCATACTTATTAACGTTGTGCGTCAAATTTAAATACCGAGTTTCATTAGGATTATGTAATTATATCTATTCATTCTTTTTTTCTTACACACTTATTTTTTATTCTTAAATATAAATTTCGTGAAAAGACCATACGTATAATTTATGTAGTTTAAAATATTTTTGTGATCGTATTATTTACTTATAAAAAAGCATTATTTTTGTGATCGTATTATTTACTTATAAAAAAAAGCATTATTTTTAAAGATTCGATTGAGTTTCACAAATGGGTTATTTTGTAGATAATCGGTCAACCACAACGACTTTGCATATTGTGTCAACTTTCTGCGTTAAACTATATACTGTAACAATAATACAAATTCGCTAATCTATTAATTGAGCATTGACCAGTTTAAACGGGCATGGTGGCCTTTCGTTACACACCCAATAGAATTACTGCATAAAGTGATTCTTTATTTGTAACCAAATTTGGATTATTTAGTATAATAATCATGTGGGAAAAATAGATTAAATTCATGCTAGACGTATAATGCAGATCGATATCCCCATTGACAAGATCGTGGCATCCTGATCAGGAAAATCAACTAGCTTACTAATTTCTTGATCCTCTTCAGGAATTGTGCTTTCTTTAGAATTAAAATGATCGAATATTCTCACATATTCGAAAAAGTAACTCATAAACGTAATTAATAAATTAAAACAGGTTAGTACTATATATATATATATATATATATTTACACTACTTGCTTATATTAAAAAACATTATTTATGGTTTTTATTTTTCTTCTTACCTTTATGTTATTGGCATAACTAATTGTGTTATTATAGAATATTCTAAGTTACATAATCATAATGCTTCCAACAATTACACTAAAATGATATGAATATACACTTTATTCTGCCTAAATGCAATGAGTATTTTATTTTAATGACTATTTTTTACTTAATTTCTTTTTTTTTATGGATGTTACGTTTAAATGATGTCCAGCCCTTAATTGGATTGGAACTGTCCTGTTGGGCGTTGGCTTGCGTTGGGTTTTATCTTGTTTTTGTTGCAACGCCATTTTAGCCTATATGACCAGAAATACGCTCATTAATAAAGACGAATAAATAGAAAAGATAATTTACAGGTAAATTTGACCTACATTATGTACAGCATTTGAAGTCAAATCCCTAAGCAATAGTTCTGTTTCCCTCGTTCTTGGATGTTCGGCTCCGAACTAAAAGACAAAATGTGACATTTAAATAAAATGAATTTGGTTTGGTCAATTCAAAATCAGAGCCATTTAATTACCACTGCATGGAAAATGTGATACGCTGACTTCTCGGCAATCAATGCAGCTTTGTAATCCTCCGCATATGCAAGAGCTTTGGCAAGGAGATGATATCTAATAAATAAATAAATAAAAGCAAATCAAACAACTCTGATTTGAACATTAAATTAAAACATAACTTTTATTGAATTTTTATAATCTTACGATTCTCCAGTTACGACATTATTTTTTCCAAAGACAAATTCATTTGTATTCTTGGCTCGTTCAAAGAACTTTATGCTACCTTCGTAATCTTTCATGTTTTGAAGCATAATTCCAACATTATGCTATGGTTAATAATAAAGATGATCAGGTAATCATTTAAATCCTGCATACTTAAAAGTTCCCATATCACTTACATCTGCCGTAGCTCCATCAGGATGCAAATTTCCAAAGATGATCTCCCAATAATACATGGCATGTCGCATATACTTGAGGCCTAATTCAGTGTGGCCAATAGCATTTTCAAAGAGGCCAAGATGTAACTGCAAATTTGATAAACACAATATTAAAAATATCTAATTATGCAATAATCACATTAAAATCATTTTATTCAACTTACGT